TCTCTCTCTCTCTGTCAAAATAAATAAATAAAATCTTTTTACATAAATAAATAAATAAATGAAATTATGTACAGAAGAACAATACTTCTCAAATGGACACAAATACAAGCATAAAATCTACTAGGATTTTGTCATACTAATACTCAAAATATTTTTTGAAAAATAAAAGTTATACAATAAACAAATACTTACTTGAGTGATAAACATTTTACAAGAAGTCTCTGACCAAAGTGCTCTTTGGGCACATCAGGAACACTAAGTCGTTCTATTGGCTCCTCCTACAAATTGACAAGCAGCGTTAAAATGAACATTCTTACCATATTTCAACTCTTTATAATTTTTTAAGTACTTATTTTATTAATCTAATACTTTGAGTCTTCACAGCTGAGTACAGAAAACAAGGACCGATTTACGCTCAAACAGAAGTCATTAGATCCTAAGTGTGCTCAACTCATAGAAGTTACACTTGGTTATATATTAAATATATTCACTCAAAAAGTGTATTTCATTTACTAAAAATTATACCTATGTTTCAGTTAAGTTTTATTCCCTATATTATTATACTATATACAATACTCCCAAAATACTTATTTTAATAATCATCTACTTCTTTATATCTAAATATCGATACCTCATCTGGTGACGGATGCAGACCAAAGAGTTCCTTGTGGCGGTTCGATTTCCTTTGGTCATCATTCTGACGGTCTATTTCTTCATTGGGAGTGCGATCAAGCAAGTTGGGAAGCAAAGCATCAGGAAGTGAATTTTTCAAGTCAAAAATACTGCATGCCCAGCTACCCCTTGGAGTATCATCTATTGACATTGAACGTCTTTTAAGATCATCCTGTCATGCAAAACATTAAACATAAATATATTTATTTAATAAAGAAATAAAAAAATAAACTACTTTAAAATAATTTCTTTTAGACATTTAAAAATAAAGGTATTACTTGCTCATCCTGGTAGTTGTTGCCATCTGGAGCTTCATCGGATTCAAAGACCTGTTTTGGCAAACCTTTTTGCCTTTCTTTCTGTTTATCTAATGTATTAGGATTAAATCCTGTTCCCAGTTTATGATACCTATTCAAAATAAAATAGTTAAGTAAATGTCAGTTTTGGAAATTTTTCATTTTCATCATTATGTAACAAGCCAACTGTTCTCTGTATTATTTCTTTACATTAATAAGGATACATTCCAGCAGTTTTGATTATGTTAAACATTTAACCAGAAGTTTAAGAAGACTTCCGTTCAAAGTTCCTTTACTCCAAATAGAGAGCAGATTAGGACATTCCAAAAGTAAATCATAGTCTTCTTTCCACGACAACCATGTATATATAACTTAAGTTGTACTTCCAATTCAGATAATATTTTTTCTTTGCAGTAAAAAGAAAGGATGGGAAGCCAGGCTAAAGAACAAAATGAGAGAGTAGAAAATATATACTGCATTCATAACAATGTAAATTTTTAAAAGGCAGAAAAATATAAAGCATTGAATCTCAAAATTTCAAATAGCCAAATAAAGTTCCTATATGTCATTACGTATAAACGATCTGAAACAAGCTAAAGCTGCAGACTCTTAAAAGGAAAAACTGCAAGATCTACACCATTGTATACATCTATTAGTTAACATGTATTGCTACATAATATATATATTAGACTTAGAATAACTCTTAAACTAATGTAACCTTCTTTCCTAACAACCCAATATCCAAGAGCATTAAGCAGACACTAAGATCAAAGAGCAATTACTGTTCCATACCTCATATAGTCAAACTGGGGAAAATTTTAATTGGAGCAAAAACAATTATGATTACCAGAGGATGATATGGTTCTTGCCACTAGTGAATTTATGAAACAGTAAAGAATCACACTTGATATGAATCATTCATATTGTGTCTTGTTGCTAAAGATATTAAAATAGCAGCTACATGATGTTCATATCCCAGTATAATCACAAAATAAAAGAAAGCATTTTTCTTTGAAAGAACTAAAAAAAAGATACTCAATACAGTAACATGAAAGGTTTTATTCAAAAACAGATGCTTTAATCTTTCATAAAATGCTTTAAGTTCCTTAATTTGTAAAGTTGCTTGTCTAAGCTGCTCTAATAAACCAGAAATGTGTTGCATTCTACCTTCTTTATGTCCTAAAATATTGACAGTATAAAATTCACAAGAACTGAGAAGAATGACATGATTCATGATCAATATTCTTCTAAATTATCACTCTGACCTCTAGCTGGTTGCCATAAGGCTCTCTATCCAACCCCACACACAGACCACCATTGCTAGGACCTCATATCTCGGCTCTGTCCCTCATTTATTCTATTCCGGCCACACTGACCTCTTTGCTATTCCTTGAATATTCCTAGCATGCTTCCAGTATGCAGCGTTTGCATGTGCTATTCTTCCCTCTGCCTAATAATATCTTCCGCCAGATATCCAGAGGGCTCACTCCCTTACTTCCTTCGGGTCTTTGCTCAAATTCACCTTATCAGTTAAGTCTCTTCTGATTAGTTTACAAAGTAGGAAATTTAGCCACTCTTCTTGGCTCTCCCTATCCTTCTCACCCTACTTTTTTTTTTTTCCATAAGAGTTACCTCCACCATACCTATTAATATTTATCTGTGTTTGTTTATTGTCCATTGCCCTCATCCCCAACTAGAAAGTAAGCTCCATGAGGGCAGGGAATTGTTGACTGCCATATCATCACTGCTTAGCATAGCGCCTGGCACATAACAGATTCTGAGTAAGTATTTGTTGAATGAATAAATAAATGAAGTACTTTCTGTCCCTTTATGCTTCTGTGCTGAATTATAGACGAATGGTGTGGTTTCATCTTATGGTATAGTATTCCACTCCTCAGTCACGTCCACTCCGCCATTAAGCCCATCTGCTGAGTTTTTAATATTTTTTCACTGAATAAAATATTAATTTCCAAAGATAACTCATTGATTTTCATATGTCTACCATATCCTTTCATATATCCTTGAGGATATTAATTATACTTACGGGTTTTGATCTGTATTCTAACTACTTCCAACTTTAAATTGTTCCGTTATTTAGAGATTGATAATTCTCTTTGAAGCATGCTGGTTTTCATCAAATAGTTGTCAATTCTGGATTATGTGCTCATTTTTAAATCTGTAAGCCCATATCCGCCTGAAAACACTGTATCTGTTCAGCTCAGCCCGTATCTGGCGGTTGTAGAGAAGAGGCAATCATGCTGTCAGGCAGAATCTGCCAGTATCCACTCTTCTGGGTATGAGAGGCTCCTTCTTCTTCCAAGGCATGCCCACCCTGAGCACTATATTATCAGCTCAAGCCCCCAAAATCACTGCTCTAAAAAAAGACATAGATCTCTCTGCAGGCACTGCTGTGCAAACATGGTACAGGGGTCAAAGTAACCAAATGTCCAACAGTACCCCAGGTCCCCCTTCCATTGCCTGAATTTACTACTTCTGAGCTTACAACCCTACTGAGGTTTATACATATATCTTCTCTTTAGATTATTTTGTACTGTGGTTTTCTCTTATGTTCCAATCGCACCCTATCTTCTATCTTCCAGGGATACTTTAAAACCTGTAGCCCAACAAAAGTGCCCCTTTTCTCATTTACTACTACACATAATAAACAAAATAATATCTGACGTAACAGAAAAAATTTAAGCATTAGAACCCGATGTCCCTAGGTTCTAATCCAGGCTATCCCACTTTCTGGCTGTGGGACCTCAAAGACATTACTTAACTACTCTGAGCCTGAGCTATGTCATCTGTTGGAACCTTAAGATGGAACTGAGATGAGTGTCAAGTGCCCAATAAAATGCTCAATACACAGTAAGTACCCAAAAATATTAACTACCTTACCCTCTTGCCTAAACCAAGGTCAGCAACCCCATAATGAGAGTTAAGTAGCAGACTCCATGATTCTGAGATTAATGTTTTACAACTAATCTCTTTATATTAAGATTTCTAATTAGAAGTTTCCAACATACATGTATAGAGATAAAGACTTCTGAGTTATCCGACAGAGGGACAGTTTTCTTCAGTAATGTCTAAAATCTACCTATTGGAATACTTATCAAAGTGGTAAGTTCATAAAAACAGCTCTTCTTTATAAAGGGTAGCAGACTGTGCTTTTATTAGGTCACACTAAAACTAAAAAGCATGTCAGCAGTATCCCCAAGTGATGCTTAGCACAATATTAAACCCAGTGAAATAAGACAGCAACCATAGGGGCAAAACAATAAGCCAAGGATACAAGATCATTGCAAGTACAATTTAGCACAGATAACTTCAGTTTCTGAAAACTATGTCATAACAGAATTCTCCCCTACCTCGGACATTTATTTTTCCTTTAGAAAAATAAAATAAGGCTAAGAATTTTCAGGATGAAGACTCTTCATTATGCAAATTAAAATTAGCAAAGGAAACTTAACTTTTTTTTCTTAACCTGATTTGATATCTCAAACACCATCCATTAGAAAAATAAATTTTGGGGGCGCCTGGGTGGCTCAGTTGGTTAAGCGACTGCCTTCGGCTCAGGTCATGATCCTGGAGTCCCGGGATCGAGTCCCGCATCAGGCTACCTGCTCAGCAGGGAGTCTGCTTCTCCCTCTCCCCCCTCTTGTGCTCTTTCTCTCTCTCACTCTCTCTCTCAAATAAATAAATAAAATCTTTAAAATAAATAAATAAATAAATTTTGTGGGGCGCCTGGGTGGCTCAGATGGTTAAGTGTCTGCCTTCGGCTCAGGTCATGATCCCAGGGTCCTGGGATCGAGTCCCATATTGGGCTCCTGGCTCAGCGGGGAGCCTGCTTCTCCCTCTCCCTCTGCCCCTCCCCCTGCTCATGCTCTCTCTCTCTCTTTATCTGTGTCTCAAATGAATAAAATCTTAAAAAAAAAAAAGAAAGAAAAGAAATTTTGTGGTAGAACAAAACATTATTTTTAAAAAATATTTACCTGATTCGATATACTGGTCAAGGACCTATAAATATTTAGTTAGTTAATAAAGGGTGGGGACCTTTCAAACAGCTTGATCTGGAAAGCTGGCTATTCAATTTAACTTAATCATTTAAGTTTCAATAAACTGGATTCTTTTTGAGAAATGCAAATTATTCATCAATACCTACCCATGATTTCCCAGAAGAGTTAGACCATAAATTATTATAATTACATATTATTAGTTATTAATGATCTATGATAATATAGAAATACTACTGATAAACCTATTATTTTATACAGAAAGTTAAGTGATGTAGGCCACAGTAATTGCAGAACTCCTAAGGAGAAAATATCTACATAAAAAAGGTTCTTCTTTTGTTTCTTCAGCTATTTTTTTAAATGAATGTTCAGGTCTCATAATTATTATTAATCTACCTTAATCCATTTATAGATCCTACTCAGCATTTCTTAATGTTATAATAAACCTATGACTTACTTTCTGATCACGACTGCCCAGTCCTCTGTATAACTTCTTATACAATCTCTAACATGTGGATCCATTTCACTAGTTTAAAAAAGAAAATAAATTTGTAATTTAGTAAGGAAAGCACTGATGTTTGTGAATTTGGTTGCTTCAGTTCTTGTTCATATAATAGGAAACAATACTACCACAAGAAATAGGATCTAAACAGAATCAAGGAAGGTAGCCTTTCCATAGTTAAACTTAAACCAAAAATATGTAAATGTCGCCTTACCTTTCTTCAGGTACAGCTGACACCAGGGTTCTGCAGTCCCTGGGACTATAAACAACTTCGATATCATCTGGAGGGAACTCAATCAAATCTCTTAAAGGCCCAGAATCCACAGCTAAAGGATGAGTAACGAGGTATTCTTCCAAATCCACTGGGTCCACTGCTTCAGTAAGGGGCACCTTTATAAAGAGGGGTGGGTATGAGAGGTAGGTAGAAAGGGAGAGGTGGATATAAAAATTTTAAAACTTGCAAAGGAAATTTATTGTTTTTAAAAAATACATGTTTTTAACCTAGTTATTTCTAAAATGTCAGGAGCGATTCAGCCAGATGCACTAAAGAAACAAGGTGTTGGCCTTCTATTTTTTTTTTTTTTTAAGATTTTATTTATTTTTGACAGAGAGAGAGAGTGTGCAAGCAGGGGAAACAGCAGGCAGAGGGAGAGGGAGAAGCAGGCTCCCTGCAGGGAGCCCGATGTGGGGCTTGATCCCAGGGCCCTGGAATCATGACCTGAGCCAAAGGCAGACGCTTAACCGTCTGAGCCACCTAGGCGCCCCGGTGTTGGCCTTCTTATACTTGTTTATACTTTTGGGTCAATACTTTAATCTTCTCGCTTAGACTTTGTCCATTCTCCTCACATAAAATCAGTAATGATAATTAACAGTTTTAGAATACTTTACGATGACAACATGCTCATTGGAAGGATTCTTTTTTTCTTTTTTGTATCTTTGGGATTGTCGCTGCTAAGTTTATAAGGAGCGCTTTTACTTTATTTGTTCTTACAAATAAAGTATTCTAGTAAAAATATATAACCAGTCTGTAGTAGGCTGAAAATGGCCCTCCAAAGATCTCCACATCCCAACCCATGGACCTTATATGGCAAAATAAACAAATAAATACAAATAAAAGAGTATTTGAAGATATGATTAAGGATCTTAAAATGGGGACATTATCCTGGATTATATGAGTGGGTCCTAAGTGCAAGTGCAATCATATATATCCTCATATGGAAACATAGGGAATTTGGGGCACACAGAGGATAAAGCCATATGAAGACACAGCAAAGAGAAATTTAAAGATTCTGGCCTTAAAGACAGAACTGATACGGCCTCAAGCAGCCACCAGATCTGGACGAGGCAAGGAACTGATTCTGAAAGGAGTCTCTGAAGGGAGTGTAACCTCACCAAAACCTTGACTTCTGCCCACTGATATCAGACTCTGGACTCCAGCACTGTGAGAGAATAAATTCCTGTTGTTTTAAGCCACACAGTTTGTGGTAATTTGTTCCAGCAGCCACAGGAAAGTAATACACAAAGTCTATTAAAAGTATCTATTAGCAGTAATAGAATATTCACAGAATTCCTTAGCCAAGCTGAAATTATACATTTTAATAAGATACCTTACTTCTTACTAACATGAGAAAAAATATTAAGCAAAACTGTGAAGAATTATATAACAAATGTGCAGTTGTGGACCAATGAAAATAAGAACATGCAATTTCTCAAGATGTCAACTGGGTAAAAACACTGAGACTTGCACGTACGTGTTACGAAATAGAAGGTGCTTTAATCTATGATGCTTTGAACTGAACAACCCCCAACAGGTAAAGCAACATTTTATAGATAGTTAAGTAAAATAATGACTGGCACATCATAAACACTCACTTGAGTGTTTTTCTCATTCAAAACCTCTCCCAAACCCTGTAAGTTAGAGAAAGTTAATATTTCAGTTCTACAAATAAGGGCATTTGTGCTCAAAGAACTCAAACAACTCCTGAAAATGAAACAGCCACTAAAGACAGTACAAAATTTAAAAATGGGTCTTCAAGCTCTACAATTCCTGGTTTTTCTCTCATAAGCATTCTATCTTACCTATTCTCTCAAGTATATCATATACTATCATGATGTATAGTTTATACATCATGATAGTATCCCTGTTCTTAATACAGGGAAAGAAGCAATTCAATAGGGAAACAGAATATTCTTCAACCATAATTGCTGAAAAAACAGGATATCTATACTGGGGGGGAATGAATCTCAATCCTTATATTACAACATACACAAAATTTAAATTGAGATGAATCATGGACACAAATACAAATACTAAAACCATAAAACTGCTAGATGGAAACATAGGAGAACATCTTCATGATTTGGGAGCAGGCAAAGGTTTCTTAGACACAGAAATAATTATAAGAGAAAAATCTGACATATCAAAAGATAGTTAAGAAGGCCACAGTAAAAGGAAATATTCACAAAACATACTTAACAAGAATATATAAATAAGTCTTACATCTCAATAATAACAGGACAAACCACCCTCTCAAATGGGGGGGTAAAGTTGACAAGACATTCACAAAGGAAGACACAGGAATGGCCAGTTAGCACGTAAAAAAGTGTTCAACGTTAAAAGTCACTAGGACGTACTTCCACTTCCAGGAAGAAGACATATTTTCCCTATTCTTCCCACTAATTACAACTATAAATGCTGGACAGTCTATATAAAATAAACATCAGAAGACTCAAAAAGGTAGAGAAAAAGGCAAATCAGCAGGGACCTCGGGACTCAAGAAATGGTACAACAGGGAGTTAGCTAAAATTTCTTTTTGCCTTATATACTCCATGCTTGGAGCTAGGAAAGCTCACAAACCAGACACACCATGGGGTGGGTTGGGGGGGGAACCCCAACAAAATTCTGTTCTCCCCAGCCAAAGGACCAAGAGAGGGGCAGCACAGCAAAATAGAAGAGTTTTTATTTATTTATTTATTTAGGCAGCACAGCAAAATAGAAGAGATTGATTGATTGATTGATTGATTGATTGAAGCAGGCTCCTCACTGAGCAGGGAGCCCAATGCGGGGCTACCCAAGCCAAAGGCAGACGCCTAACTGACTGAGCCACCCAGGCGTCCCAACAAAACAGAAAGGTTTTAGACAATAACCATTCTACGTCAGCCAAACACTATATGAAAAACTGTAGACCCACCCATATCTACACAAGCAAGGCCAAGTGGAAAGCCAAACTTCACCCTCACAAAGCTGTAACAAGGCATCCAACACTCCCCACCAAGCATGGAATCAAAGAAGTCAGAGTAGGAGGACGCCTGGGTGGCTCAGTCATTAAGCATCTGCCTCCGGCTCAGGTCATGATCCCAGAGTCCTGGGATCAAGCCCCGCATCAGGCTCCCTACTTGGTGGGAAGCCTGCTTCTCCCTCTCTCACTCCCCCTGCTTGTATTCCCTCTCTTGCTGTCTCTGTCAAATAAATAAAATCTTAAAAAAAAAAAAAAAAGAAGTCAGAGTAGGTAACCGGGATTTTCATATCTACTAGGAGGTATGAGCCTCCCACCTCCACAGTGTCAGTGGAGACCACACAGGGACATCTACTCATTCAGTAATAACAAGGCATTTCTTCTTCTTACTGTTGGGATAGTATCTGAGGAGGTCTATATATAATACAATAAAGGGTAAAGAGATGGAAGGGTACATAAAATTTCTAGACTTCACTCAAACTGTTAAAAAGTCAACACTAGTTTTGTGATAAATTATGTAAATATAATCCCTATGTAACCACTAAAAAGGCTGTACAAAGATATGCACTCAACAAGACTGTAGATAAATCAAAATGGAATTCTAAAAAATGTTCAGATAATTCACACAAGATAGGAAAAAGAAAACAGAAAAACAAAAAACAGGGACACCTGGGTGGCTCAGTTAGTTAAGCGTCTGCCTTTGGCTCAGGTCATGATCTCAGGGTACTGGGATCAAGCCCCACATCAGGCTCCCTGCTTAGCAGTGAGTCTGCTTCTCCCTCTATGATCTCTCTCGCTCTCACTCTCTCTCAAATAAATTAATTTAAAAAAAAAACAGAGAGAACAAACAAAAAATAAAAGGGCAGACTAAAGCCCCAGCAAAACAATAGTAACATTGGGGTGCCTGGGTGGCTCAGATGGTTAAGCGTCTGCCTTCAGCTCAGGTCATGATCCCAGAGTCCTGGGATCGAGTCCCACATCGGGCTCCCTGCTAGGCGGGGAGCCTGCTTCTTCCTCTGCCTCTGCCTCTGCCTCTGCCTCTGCCTCTCTCTCTCTGACTCTCATGAATAAATAAATAAAACATTAAAAAAGAAAACAACAGTAACATTAAATGTAAATGGTCTACATACGCCAATTAAAAGATAAGAGAATAGCAGAATGAGTTTAAAAGTATGACCTACCTGTATGGTGTACAAATTCACTTCAAATAAGACAATATAAGGAGGTTGAAAACAGAAGAATGGATAAAGATATACCATGCATACATTAATCAAAAGAGTTCTGAAGTGGCTATATTAAAATCAGATAAAGTAGACCTCAGAGCAAAGACAAGTAACTAGATAAAAAGGGACATTACCTAATGATAACAGCTATGATCCAACAAGAAGACACAGCAATCTTAAAGGTGTATGTACTAAACAACAACTATAAATTATGTGAAGCAAAAATTAATAGAACTGAAAGGAAAAATAAGACATATCTACAATTAAAACTGGAGACTTCAAGACATCTCTCTCAACAACTGATAAGACAACTGGACAGAAAACCAACAAGGACATGGTAAAACTCAACAGCACCATCAACCAACAGGATTTAACTGACATTTATAGAACACTCCACCCAATAGCAACAGAATAAATATACTTTTCAAAACCAGCAAAAGCATATACCAAGACAAACCATATCCTGAGCCATAAAACCAACCTCAACAATTTTAAAGGAATCAGAGTGTGTTCTCTGATGATAATGTAATCAAAATAGAAATTAGCAACAGAAAGATAAAGGAAAATCTCCAAACACTTAGAAACTAAATACACTTCCAAGTAAGTCATGAATTACAGAAGTCTGAAAAGTGAAATTTAAAAAATATGTTGAACTAAATGAAAATATAACATAAAATTTGTGGGATGAAGGAAATGCAAATCAAAAACATAGATACTACTTCACACCCATTATGATGGCTATTATAAAAAAATGGAAAACAAGTGTAGGAGAGTATATAAAGAAATCAGAAGCCTTTCGAATGTTCCCAAAAAATCATACCAAAAAACAGAATTACCAAATGATCTACTAACTCCACCTCTAGGTATTCCACCCAAAAATTGCAAATGAAGACTCAGATCACTTGTACACTCATGTTCATAGCAGCAATAC